GCGAAGGGGACGGAGAGATGACGCAACTACGATATATAGACGGGTCCTCATCAGTCGAAAATGTCAGCCATTTATTCCAGCTGATATTTATATTAAACGATGACACGTCAAGTACACTAGGCACCTAACCAAAAATGCCCGCTTCCTCGGTTTTGTGAAACAAGATGTCGAAAGGGCAGCGGAAAAATGGCGACCTGGGAAGGAAAATCCAAAACCGCGCGAACGGTCTACTTACCTTTCGGTTTCTCCGAACTCCCGCGAAGGATCTTGCCTCAGCAGCCTCTCCCAGCCCGAGCATGTCCGGACCCATACGCAGCCTGGTGATCGCCAGTCTTGGCCCAAGAACGGCATAATTCTGTTTTTCTTCGAAGAAAGGACCGCTATAAAATTGTCAAAATCACCGCTTTCTGTGCACCGGTCCAATTACCTAGGTGCCCTTGGCGTTGAGCTACCTGAACGGAGGCCCGCTTTAGAGTTTGTCTCGCTGGGAATAAACAAAAATCGCCAACTTCTATACAACGCCACAGCTTCTGTCAAATAATGCTAAGATATATCCTAAGGCGTCTTATTCCGCCAGCCTTCTCCAGGTCCAGGTCTCACGGTTTAGCTCGCTGCGGAGTCGCGCAGGGGCTTTATGGTTTGTTGCCGGAAGTTGCGCGATCAGGTCACGTGGTGCCGAATCGTCATAATGACATCATTGGTAAACATGGCCCGGTTTCAAGTGGACGCATGTGGATGGATGGATCAAAACAAACACGATATTATAAATATTATCCCGGTGATTGCATATAAAATACAGAATGCATTCATGCAAAAGTACAATACAACTGCCCATTTGTTTGTGCCGGTTATGACGGTCTCATTCCCATACATTTCCTAGAACAGTCAGTGCGAAGTTGACTTGGCTTTGCTGTTTTCCTTCAGAAGTGAGCCAAATCAAACTTGACTTGACCTGGCTATGTACCAACAGTGATTAGAGTTTAGTATCTTCAGACCTTGACCCATAGACCAGATAAATGACAACCAAACTGAATATCATGGAACACATTGATGTCACAGTTGATAGAAAATGTAACATTGTAATTTTATATTAGAGAAACTTTATTGCATCACCTATTCAATGGAGCTGTCTAATATCTGAGATCATGTACTGTTGTAATGGACCAGTCCATCTCTGAATCAGCGTCATAGAATTCACACTTGTTTCTCATGTCATACCCTTGTCATCAGCTATGAGACTAAGTAAATATCAGTCACAACACATGTGGATCACATGTCCCTGCATCACAGCATCTGACTTCTTCCGACAACAACACAAACATCTTTTAAAATTTCTTTTTTAAAAACTCCCTTATAGTTCAAAGGAGGTCTTGGACCACATGCATGAAAAAATGTCTACATGTACAGTGTAATGCAGATTGGAAAAGGGTGTGAATTATAGATAATCTCCAAGCAGATGTTGGGTTAAAAGTTATAATCTTTTCTCAATCAGACAGATGGCTTCTCTGACCGTTTGACGTGTAAGCGGGCAACAGAAATTGTTGTTGCAGTTTCATTCATCATTTGTCCTTTTTAAAAACACTATTTTTCCTGGCAACAACAGCTTCCATGAACTTGAAGTAGTTGTACTTGATGTCATACTCCATGTCGTACCAGAAGTTGACGGCGATACATCCTTGCGACTGCTGGACGTGATGGAACCACAGAGATGGCAGATACAGCATCTCACCTGCCTCTACAGTACAGGTGAAGGAGTGGGCGTGACTAAACTCTGGATACCTGTCCAGGTCAGGGTCAAGGGGGTCCACAGGTATCCACGGTACCAAATCTACGTCCTTTTCATCAATCACGTCAAACGTGCCCTCCGCATTTTCATGGTATCTGGCGGGCTGGAAGAGTCCATATGGGATAAATGGGAGGTCTGTGGGGGGGAGCAGGGTGAAGGTTTTCTGCCCTGATATGACACAGTACAGGTTTTCCATAGTGGTCCTTGTGCATGGAGGTAACAGCAGCCTCCTCTCCCATCCAGAAGTTCACCGCATCAGGTAGTTTTCCTGCATTTGGGGGAAATGCCTTTTTTGTGTTATGCACATAGTTACAGTAGTTACTGGTACTACAAAAAATGTCAGGTGTCTTTCACACAAATCCAGAAGTGTATGTATACAGGCATAAACATCAATACTGTGCTTACCAAAAGCATCTGTTGCCCAGAAAATCTCCACATCTGCATCTGATATAATTTCTTTGAACTCCTCTGTGAAATTTGAGTTTTGTTTTTGGATATAAAAGACTCCATTGGACCGTGTTTTCCTTTCCATAATATCCAAAAAAGAGGAGAATTTCATAGTCCTTTCTTCGGGCATGACAAACTTGCCATCACACACTGCATCTGCGTAACCATTTGGGGTGACCGCTACAGTCACTTCCTTCTGTCCAAGGGTTTGTCTGAGGATGAAGATGTTAAGAATCAGGACTTGTCTCAGCAAACATTAAAATTTACAAGATATATGTTTGGGCCAACATTTCAGTTCATATTCTTTAATAATAATCAATTTTACAAATCTATGCTGTATGTTAAATTGTGTTTTATGCAAAAGGCACTAATCATGCTGTATGTAGAGCAGCCCAACTACATGTATGTATTATGAAGGAGGTATAACCTGGGTATTACATGTACGTAGAATTGTGAAATGGCTGAGATTATGCTCTATGGAAGTATATATGGCAAGAAATTGGACATAGAAAAACAAGGCACATTTTAGAATCTTACAGCAAATCTTACAGCAAATAATACTTCAAATATGATTGTACCCAAGGGAATTTGTCATTCTAGGTCGTTATTTACTACATTAATCATTTAGATTATAGCTGACCGAAAGTACTGTGGTGTCCACTTGCTGAGTGCCGGCCAGTGTTGGGTGGCTGTCCTGATGATGACAGGTTTGTTGGGAGACACCCAGGACCTGTGGAAGTCCAGCGGGGAGGGGGCAGGTCCAGATAGGGGACGTGAGGGTCCAGGTACAGTTCTATAAGAACAGGGAAGCACAGAAAACAAAGCATTTGCCTATGATGTAGACTGGTACAATCTTCTCATGTCAGGCTACAGATACAGATACAGGCTCAGCAATGCAAATCAATGATAGGCTATCATTCATGAGACTTCTGACATTTAACATGTCAAACCTGAATAAACGCAGACATCATGCAGAAAAGTTTCTATCAAACATTTCATATTTGTGACTCGCCTCTATGCATTTCCATAGCTGTTAATAACGTTACATTATGATATTATTTTAATAAATACATCAAAAATACATTTGAATTCAAACCCTGCTTTTTGTAATAACGTCCTTGTGGTAAGCAATCATTTCTTCCCTAAATGGATGTAGAAGATTATAAATATACCAGTTCACTTTTTGTTTACCTCTGGCCTCCACTGCCACATCTTGAAGACACTGGCCAAGCCCTTCACAACTACTTTCACTGGACATTACACTTGTCCCTGTTCCTTAGAACAAAAACGAGACTAAGATGTCTTCTTCCATGATTCCAGAAAATGTCACCTTCTTACTTTCGCAACAATAGTTTAGCTACAAAAACTAAGCAGGTCTATTTATTTCTAACCTCCTTACAAAAGAGCTCTACAAAAGCATTGTGGTGACATGTGCCTAGCAGAGTACATTCGAAAAAGGGGAGTTAACAATTATAATATTTTCATTTTGAACGCTTACAGGCAATTTGATATCATAACAAGGCTACTAACCGTAATAATATTGTATACGCACAATGAAATAATATATGATTGATCTTGTCATGTTGATGTCATCAGATTATTTGTACTACTAAGAAGCTCTCATTCCTACATATCAAGTAGACTATTCCATTTTATTCAAGATGGCGGCGCCCGTCCGAAAGTGAGCGTCTGCACGTTGCTGCGGGTTTTGTTGTCCTTTAACAAGTAAAATCTATCACCAAGACCTCCCGATCGGACAAGATGCAAGTCTCTACTGCAAGGGTACCGAAGTAACGGGTTCCTCACTGGCCGCCCAGTGCGGAACTTACGGGGAAAGTGGCGTCGGCACTCGGGGCCCTGTGCGGAAGAAAGCTCCGCACTGGAATTCTAGTGCAGAAACGGCTTTGTTCCAGTGCTGAAACACCGTCAGGACTGGAATTCCAGAGCTGAATCTTGACTCGGCACTCGTTTTCCGGTGCTAACTTCCACTCAGCACTCGTTTGCCATAGCTCGGAGGCCGTTCAGCACTGGATAACCAGCGCTCGGAGGCCGTTCACCACTGGATAGCCAGTGCTGAATTCCACTCGGCACTCGCTACCAGTGCTCGGAGGTCGTTCACCACTGGATAGCAAGTGCCGAAGTCCCTAAGTAACGGATTCCTCACTGGATCGTTCCAGTGCTCGGTGACTCTTGGCGCTGGGAGCCGAGTTCTCAAATCATTTCGGCACTGGGCTTCTGGTGCTTAATACGTCGGCCGCGCGGCGTACAGTACAGTATCGTAGGCCAAGTCTATGTCTGTAAAAATGTGAGGATCGGAGCCTTGCAGTATTGTCCTGCCGATCACCTTGTCGTGCCGATTATAATTTGCTTCCCGGGCGGTACGATCTCAAAAATATAAGTGTTAGAGTTCAAAGGTAGCATCTCGGTACCCTTTCTAAAGACAAGGTTTGATTTGCCGATATTAGAGTTTCCAGTGCTGAAGCCGCCGACACTGGACACCAAGTGTTGACGTACCTTCGGCACTGGAGATCTAGGACGGAAGCCGCCTCACCTCTGTATACCGAGTGCTGAGAAAGGAACCTGTTACTTCGGTACTTTTGCGTCTCTACTCCAAATAATGTCAAAATCTACAACTTGATCGCAGGGAAGACCCTACCTGAGGTATGTATAGCGTCCATGGTATGTGGGGAGGGGGGCAGCTTTCGCTCGGTTTCGCTTGGCGCATGTGATTGTATAATAAGTTTTTACGACGTAAATGTTTTTATATATCATTTGTACATGATGGAATGGCCACCTATTGATTAATGTTATCTGTATACTATAATAAAGACATTCCTCTTAATATAGTCTTACTTTTTTTACCACTAAAAAGTGTTAAAGTTCTTCGCACAGTATACCAGTGATACCCAAATTTATAATGAAAATTCCATCATATTGTTATGAGATTGTTATTTTCCCTGCGATCAAGTAACATAATTTGATCTCTTTTGAACAGTGGTTAACAGACAGGAAGAAGAGAGATCTCCAGAAGAAAGATGCAGGTAAACAACACTTTAAAATTAAGCCATGTTCATGCTGTTTTTGGTGTGGTGTGTCAGAAAAATATTTTCCCCTACATGTCTGGAAGCCTTTTAATGTCCATCAACTGTAATTCACTTTATGTTCGTGGTTGCAAAAGTTTGAGAAAAATGGACATGTCTGCAGAACTACTGTATGTTCACGGTGGAAGCATGTTGATAGTGGCAGCAGGTGCAGAAAAAGAAAGTCAGTGAATTACTGTATTTGTTCGTGGTAAAGACAACCGTGAACATGAGTTACTTACAGCACTTGACAAGCTACAAAGAGAAGATCTCATTCTTGGTTTGATGTGTTGTCACTCCCATTTCAGACATCCAAAGAAGAATACAGCTCATTCAGGACTTTGAGATGCCGGCAGTCAGTAACTGTATCAGGAGCTCCAGGGATGGACAGTACCTCATGGTTACAGGTAGACAGAGGTTCTATGTAGTTTTGGTCTTCATTGATTGGCGCTCTTTGTGATTTTTTGTGTCTGTGCTTAATACACAGTGAGTTCTTTTTTGTGCTATAGGAACCTACAAACCCAGAGTGAGGTGCTATGAGGTTGCTCAGATGTCCATGAAATTTGAGAGAGGCCTGGATGCAGAAGGTTAGCAGACGAGTAATCACCAATTTTTCTGCTCCTTTCCTTTTGGTGCACACAAGGGGGCTGTTTCCCTGTAACTTTCTCCTTGGCATACACAGTTTGAAAACATGTGTTTGGACTGTACTTTCTTTTCATACATCAGATGATCTCTCTGACAGCATCTCTCCTTTATTTTCAGTGGTCACTTTTGACATTTTGTCAGAAGACTATTCAAAGGTAGGTTCAGAGTGAGGAGGTATGGATAAAACATCAATGGTTTAAACTAAAGTATGTGTACAGTATATAAGTCTGAAGACTTATAGAAATCTGAACCAGACCCAATATTCTATAACAATAAGGTACAACAGTAACATACAAGTACAGTTCAGTGGTGGCTTACCCCTTACAATAACTTTGGTGTAACCGCATATTAGGTAACCTGACTTATTCGTCGTGTGAAGTGCATCAGAAGTGTATTCTTAGATACCTATTGAACTGCCCAAACATATTATCTTCCAGCTCCAAAATTTGTTTGTTTGTTATGTGCAGGTAGTGTTCCTCCACTGTGACAGATATGTGGAGTTCCATGCTCAGTACGGCAGGTATTACAGGACCAGGATACCCAAAGTTGGGAGAGATTTCTCCTTCCACTCACCTTCATGTGACCTCTACTTTGTTGGAGCAAGGTCAGTACAGTTAACATTACCAAACAATTACAGTAGGTTCTCCGCTTTGTCTTCCTTCTCAGTTGTGCATGGTGGTTCATTGTGGCTGTAAGTTTCCTTGTTGTGAGATTTTGTAGACATATGGGGAGGGTTTGCCTACCCCTCTTACTGTAGTGTTATCATACTGAACTTTATGGTGCATTTGACCAATGATGCTTCCTGTTCCTAAGCTCATATGTCCTAAGTCATTGGTCATTTATCATGTCTCTGAGGAAGGGTACAGTAGGTTGACTAGCTGTAAAGTTTTTTTTTTTGTTGAACTTGAAGAAATTTTAGCTGTCCT